GAAAGACCCAGTTTGTGAAATGATACTTGAAACTATTTACAATGGCTTTTGTTGGATTTTTTTTTAAAACTATATTAAACTATGTCATTGATAGAGTAAATTTAGGGTTAACTAAATCAAGGTTTAAAACAATCTAGGAACGTATAGGAAGTTTTTAAATATTTTTTTTGACGAACCTATAATGTGCCTAGTATTCTTTTCTTAGAGAGGACATAGCAGCAGATGGGAGAAAACAGACACTTAATTGTACAAGAAGAGAAATCTGTGTAACTGCTATTCCTAATCAGAGCAGAGTTTTTTTTCTCTCAGCTAACACGCAATATCAAAACACTAAAGCATCCTGAAGTGAGGTAAGAGAGGAGGATAAATATGGTGGGTGAGAAGTGCGGAGGCAACATATTAAAGAAATAAATTAAGTAGAAGTTCACCTGCTGTCATGATCAAGACATGGAGAGGAGCAGCTGCAACAGAATAGATGATTTAACATCCCCAAAAAAAGAAAAAAAAATGAGTTAAATGAAATAATGAAATATTAGGAAAAAAGTAGGTTTCTGAATTAAGCATATGAACATATATATATATCCATGTGAGAAGGTGAAAGACAGCATGGAAAATAAGCCTACATAAACAACCTTGGTTATAAATGCTTACTACTACTATAGTGGTAAAGCTAGAGTGAACCGAGTTAGCTGGTTTTCTACATAACACTGTCAAACTGCAAGTCAGATACCTAAACTGTACAGTTAGATACTTGACTAAATCTTTCGGAACGAGATTAGGGCAAATGCTGCTTGGCTTAGGTATGCATTGAAAATTTGGACCATGGTATACCCTCACTAATGCATCTAAAGTAATTCCATCCAGTACTTCTGATAACACAGGAAAGCATGATTCCCCTTTCTTCAAATTTTCTATTAGTACGTTCTGTCCTCTGACTTGTTCCATTTCTACATGTTTCTTGTCCTCCTTTCGTTCTGCACTACAGAATGACAAATTTCTAACTTTGTTTGTGTTCTCAGTAAAGCGTCATGTGCTGCCCAGTTGGTGTTCTGGTGTCAGTTTTTTATCATATATATCTCCATTGCCATTTCCTTCATTGACATGAACAGAGATTTGCTATTAATGAAACACCTGCTATTTTTTCTTATTGTAACTTTCTGAATAGATGTTCATAAAGGCTAGAATATATTTTGAAATCATTTAGACTTGTGCATTTTAGAAACGACTCTCCGCTGGTAGCTGCCAGGTCCCGTTTCCATGATGATTCTAGGCAATGAATATCATACTGAGGAAAACAGTACTATAGATTCAAAATATAACACTTGAAATATATTTCATTTACCTTGTTAGCATGGATCCAGTCTCCTTTTTTGCAGACAGGCAGCTAAGAATGATAATTCACATTATTTGTTACAGTTTCAGCTGCTGATTCACTTGTCTTTTTTCCCTTTTCACTGATGGAAGCAACAACTTCCAGAAAGGTAAATTCACAAATAACAGCCCAGCTGTTTCATTTTATCAAATACTGATACATTTGGATCATCTATCTGTCAAACAGGCTATCTCTTCTTGTTAAAATTAAATCAGGACTTCTCATTAAGTAGGAGTTTTATTGTGAGCATATCGGACTCAAAAAACTGCAAAGCTGTTGCATAACTTGCTGTTGAACACAGAAGCAAGTCAATATCAGAGCATTACCTAAAGCTCCTTGCTTTCAGTGCCATGTTCTTGCAAAGTGACAGATTTGCCTCTCTCCTTATCTACCATACCTTCACACATTCATCAGAAAAATTCGTAGCAATATAATCTTACACAACTAAATTGGGAGGTTTTGTTCACCATATCATCAGAACCCAGGTATGAAACACAACATAATAATTTTGCACATCACCTACACTTTAAAAATCATGCAACTGCACTCAGCCTTATCTTTACCATTCACACTTAACTACTGTTAAGCGATAGAGACATAAGAATATGACAGTGGCAATGTCTAAATGGTGCAAGTGAAAAGAAACCTTCTAGTTCACTGTGTTTTGTCTTCCAACTTAATGAAAATATTGCGTGCCCTTCCACAATAGGATATGGTGAAGTATGAGATTGAAACTGTGAAACACGCTTGCCTTTATGTAGGCATTACTTCTGTCTCTCACAATACCTGAACAGGAATTAATACATAGTATCCCCTAATATTATCAGCAAAGCAATAAAACTCTACCTTATTGGACATACGGCCTCCAAACTTTCTAACATATTGAAAGATCTTCAACTTTGCTGAATACATAAGATCTCACAGTTTTATCAGGAGAAACAAATCTGATTTACTGAAAGGAGGTTTAAATGTCAGAGTGAAAATTATAAAGGTGCAGGAATTTATACTTTTACTTTAAGGCAATGTATGAAAATACTTAGAAATTGCTAACTGTGTAAAATTACCAGATGTTTCTGCTGAGATTGTGTGCACCAAAAAAGTGGTACCTCTGAAAAGAGAATAATTATCTTGGTTTGAAATGGCTGTCAGAGATTCTTATCAAAAATACTGCTTTTCTTATGTCACGTTGATTAAATTATCCACATTTTGAAACAATAATTCTGTTTAAATTTTAAATGGAGGTTAAAATACATTCCCTTTCTGAAATTTCAGACATAGGAGATTCTTTGGTTAGCTATACAAAAGTTTAAACATAGGCCTATAAAATTCCACACCAGTAAGAAAACAGTTCTTTATAAATTCATCCCTTTGCCTGTGGGTGTCACTCTGTGATTAACAGAAACACTTCCCTACAAGGGGAGCTGAATAAGAACCCAGCAATTTGGAGTTAGCCACTGAAGTACTGCAGGGGGAAAGCAGTGTTAGTCTTTTTTCAGATTGCATAGCATACAAAATAAAGATGATCTCTGCCAAATAAATTACTGCCCAATATCTCTCTGATGTATTACTTTATAAAAATCTGATGTATTACTTTATAAAAGTATGGTCTAAATTCAATTCATACCCTATGTCTTGGGCAAAAACGTAAGACCATAGCATTGCTTAAAGCCACTAAAAATGTTATAAAGCCTTTGCTTTCAAACACTAAGTAAAGACTTTTCTTTCCTAATAGATGCATACTATTTCAAGACGTGCAACTGAAATTTCAAGTGTTGTTAGTTCATAAGAACCCAGTAACCATGGTGCCTGTCTGCGTATGAAAAAGGCTGTAGGCAACAGAAGGGGTGAAAATGACTAATGTGTCTATTGTTGTTCCAACTAAGTAAATGCAACAATTATGCGCACAGCACTTTTTCAGTTATTTCAGTTTTAAAATAAGGCATTACAAGTGGAACTCTAGTAGGCAGTGTATTTTCTAAAACAAGATGCAATCAAGATGCACCTCAGCAATTTATAGTACATGATAACTTAATGACTCGGCTAAATCTAAGCAAGATAAAAATGAAGTGTTGTGCAGTCTTTCCCAAAGGCTAAGTAATTGTTATTATAGGTGCCTTTTTAAAATATTTAGTGGCAGGTTAGTTGGGATATATTAAAAAGAGAACAGAGTTGTGTTGTCTTAAATATCACTATTTCATATAAGGCTGGGGAGAGAGTCGTTTCCATTGAAGTTAGATGTTCTCACTCTACTACCGCTGGCATCCTGGTTATCCAAAAGGATTTAAAATATCACTAATTTTTCTTTGGATAAAAATACAAAATGATTGCACATCCAAGAAACAAATACCACTCTTCTAGAAAAGTATTTAACTCATCCTCTGTAATCACTGTACAGACCTATCTTTCTGAAAGTGAAAAGTAATACATCCTTTGGAAAAAGTCTGTAAACTGTTTAGGGTTAGAATAAGCCATGAAAAAAATTTTAAAGCTTAGATCTTGGCATCTGTATTAACATATATATGCTGTGCAAGTTGAGCATTTTCATTTTGCTTGTTAGTTTTAAAGCTCAAGAAAAACAAATCCAATCAACATTGCCACAGTCAAAAAAACAGCTACCAGCTAACACACAAACTTCCCATATATGCCACGAATTAGTTAATCTGCAATCCCAGTTATGACAATATTGTTCCTCTTCTGGACCAGCACCACCAGTCATTCCAAATTGGACTCCAGTGCTATTTTTGAAAGATATGAACTAAAGATTGTTGTAAACTCATCTGAGATTAACAAGAAATCTTTCTTCTTGTGATGTCCAGCAGCACTACATGGGACATAGCTCCATGGAAATGAAATGCTTTTGTATGACAGCACTTCATTACGAATTCATGATACATGTCTCATCAAATCTGTTGGCAGGACACACATAGAATTCGGTGTAAAGAATAAGATTACTTGAAACACAGCAAGTTACAGTACTTAAAACAAATGCACTCACAGGCTTTGAGGCCAAACAGGATAACCTTTTTAAGGATGAATTTTGTCTGGGTCTGCGTTTCAATTCGCCTTGCTCCCTTTCAACGAGCTTGTATGAATGCAAAGGCTTACATAAAATCAGCTGTGAGGATACATGAACATAGTGGCCAAATATGTGTAAGCCACACAGTCTTTAGGTTGCTTGAATATTACTTGCTTCCGCAAAGTTAAAATCCTTAGCTTTTTATTAGCAATCCTGACAACCTAAAGTTGGAGCTTACCTAAACTACTTAACTAGCATGGGAAGCACTCACCATCTGGACTGATTGGGCCGCTGGTCTCAATTTTTACTAACTTCAGACAAGCACTGTATTTGTTATCTCTCCATAAAACCCACAGAAATGAACATGTATGTGTGTGAATTCCCTCTCATTCCTCTCCAACCTGATGGTGGGCTCACTGGCATCAACAAACTGACTTCCGCTGGATAGCCTCTCCTCTGTACTTTGTATTTGCATGACTGGCAGAACTTAAGTGATCATAACAATTTATTGCCAGCTCTTGGAGGCAATGAAGAAAAACTTAACTCCTATTTAAGCGTTAGCTGCAGCTGCTGCCACTACAGGCATTCTATAATGCTTACTGATACACTCACCCTGAATGAATAGGGCTGGAAGAAAGAGCCACATTGTCCAAGTTTTCAGGGCCCCAGCTTAAGCGATATGAATTCCTTTCAGCTTCTTTGGCCAGAGTCGTTACCTTGATAAGCAAAAAACCACTCCATTTTACTACAATAAAATCAGTTAACCAAACAAACAATAGAAAGATGTACTTTGCATAGTAGTAACTAAACAGTTTAAGCATTTTTTTTAAAGAAAACCAAAAGGAGTAATAATAGCATTATGATATTAGAAACTCCTTACCGTAACATTTTGTACTTCCTCAAAGTAATCATATGTGTTACTGGTCCCAGCGAACAGGAACGCTGTGATTTACCAAACTGATAATTTCTAAATCTTTTTTTTTTCACTAGAGGCATGCTTCAGGGCAGTACCTTTGAGGATAAAGTCTTCAAGTTCACTGGATCACTTGAATATTTGGTCCAGTGGCTGTTAACATTTTTTAAAAATCACTCAAAATGGAGAATATTATAAAGACAGTCCATGTATTACATTAATACAGCTTACCCATTTATTTTGGAATAGAGTTTAATATTGCACAATATAATGTGCCATTAAACATCAAATGAAATTGGAGAGATTTACAACATTATAAGAAATAAAGCAGCACACACCATGTTATACCATTAGTACAATCCACATAGTAATCTTTTCATATTTCCGTATTTGTCCCACAGAGGGGGGGACTTAAGAGAACTTGCTTACCTGCTGGCTGGGGATTACCACTGCATCGTCAATCATGGCACTGTCCCTCAGGTAGGACGCATGGCTCAGTGTGTGGGACCTGTCTGAACTGAAGGATCGCAGGCTGGCAGGTTGGTAGGATGCCATAGCAATATATCAGCAGTACAGATGATGTTGTAAAGGTGTGATGACAGATCGAGTGGGAGAATGAAAAAAGCGTGCTATTAGCAAATACGATGCAACTTCCAGGGGGAGTATATATATGGGGGGAAAAAAGAGAGCTTTACAAATCTCTGTGTTATGCTACCTTTCTGACCAAGAGCCACAAAGTCTTTGGATTGATTTTTCTTATCTGCTTCAAATGAGGAACCTAGAGGTTAATTTAGATTACAGTCTATTTTATATTCACAAATGTTTTATACTTGGCTTTGTGCCTTAATAGCTTCCGTATAATAAAGAGAAGGAATTCCTTCTGAGGCTCTTTGAAGGTGTTACCTCTCCTGCTGTGTAACATAAGCAAACCACACAATAAAAGTAAAATGCTAATGTCTGAAGAAAAGCTGAAATGACTCTTTCTGAAGCTTTGTTCTGACCTCCTCTCTACCATTGAACCTGCAAAAGAGTAACCTTCATATTGTCCCCTGGAAGGTACACACAGCAACACAAATTGTGGCCAGCCACATGCTCCTGTGTACAACAAAATTCCTCCTCTGTACACCAAGAGCATCTTTAGAAAGGCAATGCAAAATGCGAACACTGTTTTCTTTGTAAATACACACAGCTCTACAGAAAACTGGTTGCTGTAGCAATGAAAGATGCAAGGCAGTAATAAGCTGCTTCCAAGCACAGGCTCAGAATTTAACTGCAGGATCCACTAGCGTAAAGCAAAAAAGATTAAAAAAAAAAAAACAAACCCAACCACAACACGGACATATTGAGATAAATGGGGTTTCTGCTACCAAATAGCACTATTTTTGTCCTTCAGATATTTACTACCCATACTACTACCCATAGTATGGGTAGTAAATAGATGATAGTTATTAAAAAAAAGAAACAGATCAGCCACCTTCAGAGGTTGTTAAGTGCACTCTGATGTTGTTCAATACCCTGAGGAATACAGTGCACGCATATGAAGGGAGGAGTTTTATTTTCATGCTTTACACCTCCATGAGTAATGCTCACAATGACTGACAGGCTGCATCAGAATAATAGACCATTTATCTATATAAGTGGGTTTTTAAAGGATAATTAGTTTTCAGCAGCTGGTAATAAAAATGTCATGCTTACACTATGGACATGAGATTCAAACACCTTTAAACACAGATCTTGTTGGAAGTCAGATTTTACCATCTGAGTCACGCCAGTCAGGCTTGTTTAATACAGCTACATTCACTCAATATTATTTTTTTAGGACCCATCTTTAAAAGCAAAAGGTTATCTTATTTTTATCAGAAATATTTAACTCTGAAAGAATGATCAGTACTATTGATCATTGGCACATACCAATGGCATACTTAGCAAAATCAATGGACTGTGCAAAACTGAAAGTGAAAATAAGTACTTATTATGCAAATATCAGCCTTGGGAAAGTACTGTGAGAAAAAAAACAACAAATGATCTCTGTCTTGCATGTCATAAAATATTTTTCACCTAGACAAATGGAAGAGGTGAAATCTGTAAGGCTGATATTTAGTGTATTATTGGGATTACGCGTTTCTGGAATAAAATTCTGATTCCATTAAAACCAACAACATTTCTACTTATTTCAGTAGTGCCAGTAGTTCACCCTAACTGTCTGCGTATAACTTTAGAAAAAAATTGTGAAAGGGAACCTTGACTGAAGGGTATTTTGATTACACATGTAAGACTTCAGTAACATTTTAGTGTAAATTAGGTAGGCGGAGTACGCTTTGCTTCTTCATAACAACAGTACTTCAGTAAACATTTGTTCTTTGGATGAAAAACAACCTTCAGTAGCAGACCCCATTTGCCATCATCATCCTTTATTCATTTTAATATTTGATGCTTTCAGAACTAGTTTACAGTGCCATGCAATGCTTGCAAGAAATTCGCCATCCAAGTTGCAGGTACTGCCATTCAGCTAATGTCATGTCCTGCACAGATACTGAATGAAAGGGAGTATGTACAAGATTCGACTGCTTGTCCGTATGGTGATTTTGTCCATATTCTCCTCTAAGTACCCGACATTGCTACTACCACCACTATAACTAGCTCACTACATATCCAGTATGTGGTACATGCATGTAAGTTCCAGCACATATCCATACACTGAGGCTACAGACTTTATCAATAGGCAAGACAGTTATACAAGCCTGACGGAAGTCTGCAGTACATTACAAGCTTAAATTTTCTACTACACTTCACTTCAAAACTAATCTTGAGGTGACACTGCCCATCTTTTGTGGAGTGCACCAGCTACACAAAGAGCAAACCAGTAGTTAAGGCCGGTGTTTCTGAGACTTAGGAATAGAGGCAGTGGCACTGAACAGAACCAGTTAAGAGGTATGTATAGTATCTGCTATTCTAATAGCTCTTCAGGAATCCCATTAAAAAAATGACCTTCAGTGAGAGAGGTAACATGCCTAAATACAGATTCTTGTCAAATCTGACTGTTAATTCTCAGTTGCAGGGGTTGTGGGGCCATCTGCTCAGGCACAGAGACGACGTTTGAACTGTGAAACCCACGAACACTACAAAGCTCCTGCACAGAAGTGTGTGTCTTGCCCGCATCAGGGAATGCAAGGGCACGTATCACCCACCCTTTCTAAGGCCCTTTCTAAGCCTTACATGAACCCCAGGTGGCGGCCAGAGAAGAGCAGCAGCATACTCCAGTCATGTTTCTAATCTGGGTGACAGGGAGACCACGCTGTAGTGCACATCCATCTGCCAGCCTAGACAGAGCTGTAGCAGTCTCTCAGTCCAGCTGAGTCTACTTGTTGTTAGCAGTATATCGTGTTTCAGAAGCCTTGGAAAAGAACCTGCTATCACTGAAAACTGTATAAATCAGCCTTGAAAATATTTCTCTATTTAAAGACTGAAAGCCTTCCTCATGCCTGTCACAGTTCAGGAGAGTAGATGGGACCTACACGGAACGTGAGTCTTTTCAAACAGTGATAAATACAGATTCTGAGATAGTCAGAATCATTTCTTGCTCTCAATATCCAGAGTGGGAATCCAGCTAGTACAGTCCATTCTCTTTATTTTTATTCCACCACTGTTTCTCCATTCAGGAAAGGAAAACAGCTAACTTCTTCAGCAGCACGATGACAGAAGGACAGCTACCAACTGCTGTGGTCTAGTGCAACTCCCCTGATTCTTGCTAACAGTATCTTTACAGGAATCAGGGAAGTTTTTATATGACAGTACCTGTATCATAATATGACTTTCCTAGACAGAGAGTACTGGTGGATCAGTGTTTGTCACTGCATATCATACTTATCTGAAACTGTAACTACCTCCAACAGCTATTTCTTCTCAAAATCAACATTCCAGTGTATAGCAGGCCTCCAAAATGGACAAACAGAGACAGGTGCCATAAAATTATACAGGGATGACATTTTCATGCTATGTAATACCTACCTGGGCATGGTGCTAATGAGAGCGTATGAAAAAGAATGAAGGGGAGAGAGAAATAAAATAAATAGGGAAGATGGTTACAAAATAAAAATACATGCTTTTAAATCAAATTGTTTAATGCATAAGATTATACAAATATAGGCTGCTTATATTATTTTGCTTTGCTGAATTTCTTGAAAAACCAAAGTTAGTGTAATGCAAGGAAAATTATATTAGAGCAACAGCAAAATAATTTAAGAAGTCTCTGGGAAAATTCTTGTAAATAGTAACCTGACAGTGACAAAAAATGAGACCATGGAGTTTGAGACACACACCTTTTTCTTACATTCTACCTCCCTGTATCATTTTGCATCATTTCAATGCAACCATATTTGATATGGGATGTGAAATCATTTTCATACAACAGAATAGAACACATTTAAATGTCAATTCTATGCCAGTGAAAATCTACTGATATCCATGGACTGTATTTAAAAGCTGAACTGTTCCAAGCAAGAGCAGAAACGGGCTTAACACTGGACTGCACAATCATTCCTATACAATATCTTAAAATAAATAAATAAACATTGTTACCATCAGAAGAGCATAACAATGGTGAAATGTTTTGATTTTTAAGCATTCTGATGCAGTTCATCAATATCCTCTCAGACTCAAAAGCAACATTCACTTCATTTTCAGTGGATTTATTGGAGTTGTCTAAAAATCAGCAGACTCCAAGTTTAGAAGGCCTGAATGATGAGGGATTTAGGCATGCTGTGAGGCATGTGAACTGTTTCCTGACATCTTTTGTTCCAAGAGCAATTCGTAGTCTACTGAAGTAAACAGAATGGATCCTACTGATTTCACTGAGCTTGGGAAATGCTGCCAGAATAACAATGAAGACTGGAAAATGAGGTAGGCTAAAAATCCTTTCTGTTGCCAACATCTCAGCCATTTTCTTCCCTCCTTCAGTGATTTCGAATTCTAAACGTGATAAATCTGGAGACATTACTGATTTAAACTAGACATTGCCATTTTCGAACAGGAATGCCTGGGTAGCCTATTCTAAATCAGAACTGTGGGTATTAACCTGCCAGATTAAGTACCTGAATCTACATTTATACTCTCTAGTAAGAGCTCCCATTTTGAAAATGGAACCCCATATTTTACGTAGATTACAGTGCCATTCTCTAAATGACAAAAGATCTTTTTAAAGCATAGAGCCCTCTGTCTCATTTTATTTGTGCTTTTATAATGTTTGACTCAAAACCAGAAATACTTAAGTTACAGGCATTATTATTCCACAAATAAATCTAGATTTCAGTCCAACTTCTGAAGATATATTCAAAGCCAATGTTTTCTGCACTGAATACACCTTCTTATTTCTAACGTAAATTTCTTTTTATTCCCTGCTTAACTATTGTGCTGGGCCAATGAGAGGAAAATTATTCTCTTTCCTGTTAACTCAGCCATGAGGAAACAGGGCAAGAATCAACAAGCTTGCTGACAATATATTCACTGCCAATCTAATGTGGAATGACTACGTCCATTGCTCCTTTCCTTATAGCTATAAGACCACAGACAACTCAAAAAAGTCACCTAAATGCTGAAACACCCTGTCTACCTACCCACCCATTCCCTGACTCAGGACGGGAAGAGATTGGGATGATTCATGAGCCCTTTCCATAGTTGACTACACTGCTCTTCCTTTGCCCAACCACAAAGAGCAAGCCATGTCTTTTAAAGACCCAAATAGGAATCACCAACAAATTCTCCCCCAGAGGTTGAGCAGAGTATTAGTGCCAAACGTATCTGTTTCTGGACTGGCCAGGAAATATTCGTCCTGACCACGCACGCTTCTACAAAGCAACAGTTGACACACTGACATACCTAATAAAGGCAGGCTGAAAAGTGCATTCCAGATCTTCCTTGAGTTAAAAATGCTGACAAAGGGACTTTAAACGTTTATAACTAAATACATCTAGAATTGCTGTGTGTGCCCAGGCAAATACCTGTCAGATCGTCCTCCTTCCAAGCTGTACCTCAGGTAGTTCATACCATCTAGGAACTGGCTGCTCGGTAAAGAGTCATCTCCTAGTTCTTTGAGGTCTTCTGGCCTAAGGTACTCTCCTCCATCTCCTGTCATTGTGTCATCACCTTCAAACCAAACACAGAAAGGAAAGAGATAAGTGCACACACAAGTTAGATCCCAATATGTAACCGAAATCAAACAGCTGAATGGCACAAAGAACAGGAAGGCAATTTCCATTCAGGATACACTGCAATTCACAAGCAATTAATGTACTTAATAAAACTGGCACATCAAGCAGGATTAAAAAAAAAAAAATCAAAATCAAGGTGAATAATCAATTGGATTTAATCTAAATTTCGCTGTTGCACATACTGGTAAGGGGCATATTTCTCTGCTACTCTGCAAAGGATGGTTTCTCTGTTGTTCCTTTATCTATTTTAGCTCTCTGGGGATAGCTATAATGTATTACTGCCTGACACTTTAAGATAAAACATAACCATTTGTTTCATTGCATGCTATGTGTTTTCAGCTGAAAAGGTGTTTTCTGTGGCCCTATGCCTGGTAGCTGTAAATCCTAATTTAAACTCTCCACTGTCCAAACTCCACATCATATGAAGAAGCTCTCTCACCCAAGTTCCAACACCCTTGTGTGATCAGCAAAAAAGGTTTATTTCTAAAACATGGCAATATATAGAAACTGGAAATAAATTCACCTGCATAGCTGCTATTGTTTATTAAGCAGAAAATAATTCAAAATGAATCAAAGTTTAAATGATATTAAGTTATCCCATATATTATCCTTTTTGCATATATTCTAAATATAAACAAATTTAATTTTTTTTTTTAGATCCCAAATGATCTTCCCCAGGTAATGCCGCCTATATGATGTCACAGTTTGGTCTTCCCCGGTAGACTAATAGAACAGCTTACATTGCCATGTAGCATGTAGATATTCCTTCTGGTTCTCATTTGCAACATGGTTTCTCCTTGCAGTTTCTGCCAGGAGATGTATTTATACCTGTATCTTTCCAGCCACTTCCCAACCATTAACTACTAATGTATGAGACCGTCAGGGGCTCGGGGCAACCCACAGGACCCCACAACATGACCACAGCCCACCAGCATCTTCAAGTTTTCTCATATTCTGAGCTGCACTGACAAATGTCAAGAACCTGAAGCTCATGCCTAGTTACATGAAGCAGACTGCAGCTGTAATACAGAAGCAAAGTCTTCAGAGGCAACACATCCTAGCTGCAGCAATTCACCCTGATATGCTGGGAAGCACCTGGAGGATGGTATTAAAGCTAAGACAACTGGTATGCATGCTACTGCATGGAGAATCCATTTGGGCATCAGGATAGCTGCCACTTCTGTGATACAAAGTCCTAATAAAATAATATTGCCATTAAGCAATTATTGTTACTGCTGCTATTTCTGGTAAAGCATCACTTTTTTTCCTGCAAAATGTTACTAGCATTGCAAGCTATATGAGTGGTGCTCTCACTCCTGAAGGCAGGAATCTCATTATTCCTTTTCATGAAACCAATCAAACCAGTTTTTCTAGCTTGATTTTTCATCTGATAAAGACATGCATAATTTTTCATCTAAAATCAAATAATCTGATGGCTTTTAAAGAGTTTGTGCATATATACACAAATATCATATGTAAAAACAAGGCCTAAATCTTTTCAGTGTAATAACAAAAGCCCTTGAAAATTCCATCTGCCCACATTAAGAGGGAGAAACTGGGCACTGTTTCACAGAAAACAATAAAATGCATTTAATCATTGCATGCTTCCTGTCTTTTGACAGATGATGCCTCCTGTTTCCTGGGAATGTCACATTATAAAGCACAGGGCTTAGTGAAAACTTGGAAGATATTAAGGCAATGCTGTTAATCAAACAATAAAAGGAATTTCAAGTTATATTTCAAATAAACTAGATACTTATAATCATGTGAGACATTCCATCCATAATAGAAACAAAGCAAAATCTTCACGGCTCTCATCACACCCACATCCTTAAATAAAAAAAAAACAAAACCTCTACTCATATTTCAACTTTGGCCTCTCATCTAAGAATTGTCAATAATGGGGCTAAGTAACACTAGCTGTTTTGTATGATGCGAACATCTGCAAACAGTAATAAGACTATCCATGCATATTTCACGACGTCTTCTAAACATCTATCTGTTGGTTTTACAGTTTACGTGCAAATACACTAGTCTTGAGTCAACGAGCTGGAAGTTAAGGCCACTCCCCACAACCCCTGGTGCCCCTCCATCTTTCCTTAATAAGACACACATCCTGCTCCCACTATCCTGACCCTCTCCCTTCCCCCCCCCAAAAAAAAAATTCCCAAACAAAAAGAGCACAGCCTAGCATACGAAGAACCACTGGTGTGTTAAGTCCGAATGACCGCTTAGCAACATAACACTGCGTGTAACTGTGGAAACCCGAGTGTCTGAGTTCCTGATTTGCAGGGCAACTGCACATAATGCAAAGTGAATTATTTTGAATCTGTGTAACAAGCACTCATTCACCCTGCCAGTAGTACTGCATTGTCATTTAAATATCTGACACAGCTACATTTTCATTACATCGAGTCTCAATCAATTCTTTGCGCTGGAACGTGCACAAAAACATACAAAGGCACGTTATCTGCTAAGAAGAAATTACACATTCGGCTGACCATGACTTTTCTTCACACAGCAAATCTTACCAGATGGCAGCTATGTAAAAGTTCAAGAAATCACCCTTTTAAATCATGCTGGAAATCATTCATCTGCCATATTCCCCACCAAATTAATGACAGTCACATTTTCCCCACTTATTAAGCAGTTCATGAGGCACACAGCACTTGACAGTGACGTTGCAGGATTTCCAATGGCTATCTAGGAACTTACAAGTGGATTTCAACAGGTTACCCACTTAGTGATTTAGCTTCTAGTTACCTGAAAGAACACTGTCATTTCTTCAGCTGTATCAATAGACTTGCAGAGATTTATTCAATATGAGAAAATGGACTACAAAACACTGACTGGCTGAACTTGCACTGCGCCCCAAATACAGAATTCCTGTTCAGCCTTGGCCACACCACTGCCACTGCCCATCTCTCAATTATCTCTAATGATTTTGTTCAAATCTGTATTTCTGAATATCATATTCTTCAGAATAATATCATATTCTGTGCTTTTTTGTGCTGCAGATGCACTCCAGGAAAATTAAACATCTAGTTCTGATTAACTCAGAAGCCCTGAATCTGAAGGAACTTTAAGACACCACTGCCACAGAAACTGAATTAAAATCACAGCAATGGCATTGTTCTGAGTTTCACAGGACTCTGAGCAGAGTCAGCCTTGCACAGTCACAAAGCAGGAAGCACACAGGTTAGCCTGCGAGGAGCAGTCAGCCCTGCATATATCTGGTGACTCTGAAGTTAGTAAGAGAGGCAAAGTACTGACATCAGAGCACGAACGGGAACCTTCCATGTAAGCTTTAAAAATGCAGCTGCTTGGAGATTTTTCTGTTTGCCTAGATTAGGGATCAAGATTAAATGCCACTACACAGAACTGTTTCCAGAGATTACATTTAAACAGAACTACAGAACCAACTCAGAAAACTCCACGACTGATCAACTTTTTGCCCAAATCAGTAATATTCAAATGACTCTCAGAGTCATCTCAGAGTTCCCTTTCTTTTTTTTTTTTTAGATTTTTGTGCTGATCACACATTATTTCTCTGTACTATGAATCCACAATATCCAAACACAGCAACGGATCTCAACTGCCAATTTCTACGATACCTGTTAGCAGGAAAGGAAGTACCTGGGAAGATTTTTAGCACCTGATGCCCTCTCAGTTAGTAAGTATTTGTCTTACTCTAACCTAGTAGTACAGAGAAAACAAAAAGCTAATTTTGATGCTGATGATTTCACGTGTTTGAACACAAGTACTGAGCACCATAAATCACTGAATGGACTACAAAGACAGACAGGCTACATGCTGAGACCACAGATCTGCTCCTTCAGTGACAGTCTGGCTGAACATAAGAGTATTTTATCCAATCATTATCACTGGAGAACCACAGTGATGGTCCTGTATTTTGCTTCCTATCTTTCTTAAATTTTAACAAGGGAGTGGTGTTTCGTACATAAATAACATTAAATTAAGTAATGATTATGAACCACTTTGAAATCTTTCATCAAAAGCATATTTTAAATGCAAAATAACATTTAACAGACAGTAGTTTGGGGCACCCAGCCACATGCACTTCTCCACTTAGGAAGTCGATTTAGGCTCATGAGAGAAGTGTTTAATCAGCACACCCTAGACTAGTTTTGTCCAGAACTTATCCCGTCTACTGTTATCAGGGAACCACACAATGTTTGATCAAGAAATCAGATTAAAAATTTTCACTGCATCATTCTGGAACTCCATCTACAGAGTCAACTCATTAGGGAAACCTGGACAAAGCTGCAGTTCCCACAGTGTTCTCCTGCTATGTAAGAGAATTGCAAAGACAGCTGCAGTATCAGAATTCCTCTGGAACTGTTTCTCACAAAACAACATAGAAAACAAAGGAAAAAGTTAAAAAAAAAGGGGAGGGGGAGAGAAAGAGGCTGTGATAAAAACTGCCACACATTGCTTTTAATAGATGTTTTTAAAGCCACATACAGTTATGCGGGTTTGCCAAAACAATTATTTTCTTTGCAACCTGCAGATAAGTCTACAGCTCCTCATATAAAGTTCTGCTTCTTAAAAGTAACAGATGGAGAAGAGATAGCTATGGCAAGCATGAATTTTTAATGGAATATATAAGCCCTGAAGCATCTTTAATGGAATGTATAATGTAGGGTTTCTCTTGACACTTTCCCTGGAAACCTTTGGTTCCCTAGAGTCAATGCTCTATTTAATGGCCTGCACACATTAGGCATTTCCCTGTGTTACAATAACTTTGGCTAATGCTCTGTATTTCTGCATTTTTAGCCAGTCAGGAAAGCAGGGTTTCATACAGGACTTTACATGAATCATCATGTCAGCTACCGATAGCTCAATGAGGCATTTAAAGAAAGTGAAGCAAATAAAAAGAACAAAATTGTATGTCTACCTTCCAGGGACTCTGCA